TATCGAATACTTTCATCTCTTGATCATTTTGTGTACAGATTTTATAACTGCAATCATTACCTCTATATTACCTCCACTTCATTAGTTAGAGTTACCTCAGTCAGTTCTAACTGGAGTAAAATGTATCATAACTCTTGGTAGAGCTTGCTGAAGATAAGTATTCATGGCTATTGGACATTATTTAAAGGGTATTTCAATGCTGACTGACATAAAATTGCAAGGGATGTGAGGGATTTGTAAGTGTCAACTGAGAGTTTTCACAGTTTTCTATGTAATCAACCACTAACTTGCTACCAGTCCACAGGACACTTTTAAGACAAAATAAGAGCATGTAAGGGCATAAAAAAAACCAAGTTTTAAGTTTTTGAAATTTTTCTCCTATCAAAATTGATTTGTTCATACCATAAGCAAAATACTTATGCAAAAAAAATTTCATGTCACGGGCACTTTAAGTACTAAGCTTATTCCTGTAAGCAGTGTTTGGTGTTATTACACCTCCTGACAGTAGTCATAGACACTAAGAAGTGACATCATCATGATTATGATAGTTTTTAAGCTCGCATAATACTTTTTTTCAATTATTTTGGGACTTAAGGCTTGGCTTTTGTTTTAGCCTTGTTTGTCATCATCTTGGTTGATAACATAAACCTTAGCCCAGGTGATTCTCATCACCATGCCAAAGCTAATTTAAAAACCTTTAATTGTAAATTGTTACACATGTCCAGACTCTTAACACTTTCACTCCTAAGAGTGTCTAGCATCTAACTTCTCCTTACAATATCACACCTGAATCACACATGTAGGTCAAGGAGAATACAGAAAATGATCACCAACAAAGGAAGTTTTGAATTCTTGAACAAATTCTCTTAGTCAGAACCTTAGGAAATGTACAGAGAACAGTATGGAGAATATGCATATTGGTGTTAGGGTGTATAGGGTTAAGGAAACTTGACAGCTTTAGGCTGGGGCTTAGGGGTACATTGTAAGTAGTTGAATTGAGTTTGTATGTTTTTTTTAATTTGTTTATTTTTTTCTTCTGTAGGATATGGGACAAAGTTGTGAGTGGATCCAGTAAGATTCTTGTTTTTGTGGCTGTCAGTCTTCTGGTGTTCTTTAGACGTCAACTCCTTATGGAAAAATCTATTCAGGGTGTTGAGAGGTTCTTTTGTAAGGTAAGATATATCAAATGCACTGTACTTCACTAGTCACACACCATAGTGAAATCCTTGTCATGGCAGTTTTGGATTACCATACTATTTAACCTTTTGACTGCTAAGAGTGACCAGCATGTTATTTCTCCCTACAATATCATCCTCAAATCACACATCAAGGTCATGAGAATAAAGGAAATGGTCACCAACTAAAGAGGCTCTTGATTGTTAAGCAAATTCTTTTTGTCAGCACCTTAGGAAATGTATAGAAAACAGTATAGAGAATGTGCATACTGATGTTAGGGTGTGAAGGGTTAAACTCATAAATAAAATTTCTTATTTTGTCTAATTACCAGTACTTTTATTTACACGTTTTCATGGTGCTTGTGTACAGCCAGTCCCAAAAGACAACTTTGAGATGATTGTTAATGAAGCAATGGAACTGTGGGACAAACATGGCGCTACTGTCATTTCTGAGGCACCAACCATGCACTGAGTCTGGCCAATAATCATGACAGGATGTGAGCTTTGTGTCTACAAGGAAGTCAAACTTGAGACATTTGTGTAACCTTCAGTCAGCCATTTAGGCCATTCCCGTGGCTTCTACTGCAAAAAGCTCAGGGAGATGACAGCCTGGCTAATAACCAATATCTAATAACTAATGCTGTCATCACTGTGGGATTTTGGGCTTGGATGTTAGATCAAGAGAGATGGTAATTTTCTCTCCCATGGGGGACACGAGTGTGGTTTAAAAGCCTAGATGTGGTGACCACACGATTGCCAAGAAATGGACAAACAGAGTAAAAAATCAGGCAACCATTGTATGAAAAACATAACATTGAGTTGAAGCTATCCTTAGACTCATAAAATGTGTGAAAGACAAGTTTCATTATGAGAAAAACTGCTAATTAGCGAAGCAATGGGATGGACGAATTCTCGAAACTATTTCAAACCGATACAATAATTTTCTCGAATTCTCCCGACCCCCGTGTGTAGATCAGGTTATGGAAAAAAAAAAGGTGCTCGACTTCAGTGTAGCACATATTTAACCATATTTACTGGATAACGGGAGTAAAGGTAACAGACGGTTCCTTACGGAAAAGTTTTAATTTTCGATTGGCGTAGTAAATCATGCGCATTTAGCTACATTTCATGGAAGAGACGGCTTTGGGTAGGGGTTCTATCGGGAGGTTGGAGTTACTGGGGGTAAAAGATTTCTCTAGAATTGAAGGAGTACTGTAAGAAATCAATTTTAGTTCGAGTTACCGCGTAGTTCAAGCTAGCCATGACCAGAATATAATGGGAGCCATGGCTTGAATTTATCGGGAGTTATTTACTCGACCACATTTTTCGGTTTTTGTCTGCTGGACAAATGACGTATAGAATAGAAGTTTGCCTGCATTGTTCAAAACAGGGAAAAATCCTTCGAAAAGTGTTTTAATTATGTCACCACGAAGACTATATTTCAACATGAATAAGAGCTTGAACCCAATAAACAGTTAAAGATTTATTTCGCGAAGAAAATTCTTTGAAACACGTTCAACAGAGAAAATTTATTTCGTAGAAGACGATAGTTTCATTTTGTCGTGTACAGCACCCAGATTCCTTTTTTTTCTTTTTTCATAATAGAGCAAGATAGCAAAGATAGCAAAACTAGCAAATCTGCATTAACCGTGATTCGAGAAGAAGTGTTTTGTTTACAACAATAAGACCTGACTTCCGGTGTAAAAATGGACTAGCGAAGTCTAATCAGCCCGGAACTTGACCTGGAATACAACAAGATTGCGTGACAAGCGGGCTTCACAACAAAACGGGAATAATAATTAATCAAGGTATACATAATTCACACGTTGTAGATCTCAAGGATTGAACTCTGTTGCGCATATCGTCTTTGAATCTGTGTCCTAAAATGAAAATAACAGCATTACTTTAAAAATTCTCTTTTGCAAATCGTGCAGAGGAAACAAGAAATTGTTAATTAAGTCGCGTTATCCTGAACTCTCGCAACCAGAATTACGCATCTATTTACGACAACCGTTTAAACATATTCCTTCAGTTTTTGTCTGTTTCTTGCTTTATACTGTTGAGCTACGATTTAAGGCGATTCAAATGGATGTAGCAAAAAACAAAATGGAGTGAAAATCGAAAAAGTATTGAATTTCTCACCAGACCGGAAATTGAATTTTTCCAGCAGGAAACAATTTTCCGCCAACTAGTACATTGTTTTTCTTTCTTAGTAAGCGATGATGAAGGAATTCTCAATTAATTCGTTTTTCCCTCTTATTTAAGGTATTTCGTGTGTTCAATGGGAGCGTTTCACAATGTTTGACGCAAAAATAGATATGTTTGTCCTGTTACACCCAGTTTCGTAGAATTTAAGGCTTGAGTCGTGACGTGCATTTCTCTGAAATCAGCAAACATAAATTAACTTCACGCTTAAGAACGAAATGAATCAGAATTGGCTCGATCCGTGTTTGAAATTTAACTAGCCTTGATTTAAGGGTGATAAATGGTTTGTTCTGAAGCAAATAATTACCTGTTTCTTCATGTGTGTATGTGCAAAGCAGCCCGACTTGAAATTCACCTAACAAGACGAAGTGTCTCCCGTGACTTACCGGAGGCTAAAGAGTCTTTTTCGCAAACAGACGTTGCCATCGAAGCTTCGGCTACAGCTCTCCCTATCTCTAAGTTTAGCACTCTCCTTCTGCTTTTTCAAGGAGGGTAATTCATATTCTCTAAATCAAGCATGCAACAATGGCAGTGACTTTCATTAAATAAGAAACTCGATCACCATGGCCTTAGCGCGCAACTCTTAATCTAGGTGTGCTAAACGAGCTCGAAATTTGTTCTCTGTGTTAAAATAGATGTATGCAGCCTACCCTCTGGTAAAACTTTAAAAGGTGCAAACCTTTCTGTGTTAAAAGGAATGACATTTAAACCGATTAGATCGCTTACTAGAATTCAGTAGGGTCGGTAAGGTCAGTTAGTCTCACTGGAAACTGAACATTTACAACTGTACTTCGAGAATTACTGCAGTTACATTTACGCAATATTGTACCAATGGATAATGTTCATCCGCGAGCAAGAATTATACTTAATCCGAACTCTTATAGACCAGTCAGTGCAGCAAAGCTGCGAAAAACATACGTCGAATTGTTTGCTTTCACGGGTACGTTTTCTAAGAAAGATGTAGAGTGTTACTTCTCCGAAACCATTTCTTTAGGCGAGTTATAATTGCGTACATATTACCGAATTCTCAATGGGCAAGCCCAAAAATTAAACAATACATATTTTAGTCTAAGAAAAATAACAAAGAAGGTTTCCAGGAACGCCCTGAAAACAAAACCGTACTATCAATGAATTTGGTTTCTCCTCGTGACAGTCTTATGAATGTCGGTTTATTGTTCCGGTTTGGTCTCGTGCCTGGATCAGTATTATATCCCACACTTTATTCCGTTTAGGCTAAAGTCCACTGTGGAGTCCTGTTAAAGCTTGCTCTACTACGCAGTCAAATTCTGAGCGCAGTACTTGAGGTCTTGTGAATTTCTGCAGTTTTTGATACCACAATTTGACTTCGATTCCGGATTCGTTTCACCAAAGGTAAGAAATCTGACGTTGTGCTTTGACATTCCATTATTTTCATTCGGAGTCTTAATTTGATGTGATCAAATACGCTTCCACTCGTAATTTAGGTTTGTTTTGTATTTCGCAAAGACATGCAATTGTCCACCCTCACTCAGTAAGATTTTAGTTGCTTTTTCGAACGTTTGAGGACTTTTTGGCTTTGCTGGGAGATTGCGTGACTACCGGAAGTACACATTATCTCTTTCCAGGAATCGATCGATGGGCTTTCGGAGAATAGCGAAAACAAAAGAAAACAGAACCAAACAGATTTACATATATTCCCATATCTTCGTGCTTAAAATAGATTTGTTATTGTCAATTTTGTGGGAGTTTCCCTAGTTCAAAGATCTATAAAAAAGTCTGTCCCGGGATCACATGTATATTTTTCGTAAGAAACGCCAACCTACTCGCGATGCAAAACGAAAACATTTGGCAAAATTTAAATGCATCAATGTTTTCTGCTTGTGACGGAAGACTTCAACAACCAAGTTTTAATCCCCTCCTCTCATCTAGCTTTAATCACGGCCCTGGCAAAGAAGTAAGTACAACATAAACGTTTCCTTAAAAGTTCAGAGTCTATCGTCACGAAGACCATTCTGTAGACACTTTGGGTGGAAGAAAATTTCCCGAGACTGTCTCTCTCGCAATAGTAGACAATTAGAAGAAAATAGTACGGTATTATAAGTTCAATCTTTGATGAAATAATTTTAGAGAACGTTTCATATTGGGAATTCAGCAATTTCCGAATCGATCGTGGTGCGTAAATTAATTAGCTCGCTAGCTCGCAATGTAACCTTGTCCTGACAGCCCATCGTGATTGTAGTACAGGAAAATTTTGATACGGACGATTTAGATACGTATTCACCTGTAAAAATAATTAAAACCTCATAAGCTCAACTCAGCTTGTGTGGGCGGACAATTGTTGTCAAGAGGTGGCAATTTCTTAGAATTGTCCTGCCTATAATTTTTAGGAAAAGAATAAATTTTAAAGGATACGCCTGGCTCCTGTTATCGGATCATTGCGTATTTGACGCCTTTGGCATACGGTCCACTAACTTTACCGTTCGCTGGCATTGATATTTTTCCGTCTTTAAATTGTTCTTCAAATGTATCTTTTTTTCCCTTCTTTAGTCGTCGTTCTACACTGGTATGATAGAAAGAAGGCAAGAAATGGATGCTTTTGAAAGTCCTTGTGCTATGATAAAAGAGGGTCTCAAAAGAAAAATCACCCAAAAGCATTTGGAAAATGGTACAACGTTACCGAAAATAGAAGAGAAGAAAAGACAGCCAGCACCACCGGTATGTGCTGTAACAACTACTAAATTATAAATTATTGTTGGGGAAAACCGAAAGACAGCTTTTTTTTTTTTACAATGAGCAACGTTTTGTGTTTGTACCAAGACAAACGAGCGATGACAACATATATTCTATTCCACGAGGATCTCAGAAATCTGTCAAAGAAGGCGCGACGTATGAACAATTTTAATCAGTCATTCTGAATATAACCAGTTAAAAGCTTACTTTATTTTCAATTCACATAAATGCTGTCGCTGTGTAAACTAAAGTCCCCCTCTCTCAATACCGTTTAAATATCGATGGAGATATGTTTATTATACAAACTACATGTACTATAGTTTTCTTCTTAATAGTAAAAACAGTTTTCCTCCCGGTGACCCTGACGTTTTTTACGAAAATGAAATATCTCGGAAACTGAAATGGTCTGTGGTTCATTTTGAGGTATAGAGAAACTGCTCGTGAAAGAAGTGTGACAAGACTTAATTTCAGTTTTGAATATGTATTTAAGGTGTCTTCCTTTCATCCATTTCGTTTTCAGTTTTAAGGGAGTAAAAATTTTTCAAGCAGCTCATTATTTTCCCTTGTTGGAAAAACGTTGTTTTTAAGCGATTGCGCGCCGGATTGACAGAACTTAACAGGGGCTCATGAATAGTTTCCGGTGATAAATTTTACAATGTGATTATTAGCAATTTTTCACTCGACATTTCTCAGAACCATTTTCATACACACTCTTAACTTGTGACTTCTGCGTTTCGTATTTCAGAGAATGAAAGAAGAAGATCCAGAGGTTATCAAGAAGCGAAGGGAGAGAAATAAGATCGCAGCGACGAAGTGCCGAAAGAGAAAGAGAGAACGCATCGAAATATTGGAAAAGGTAAAAACCCCTTGTTATTGCCTCAACAGACGTTAGGGTATTTTCAAAGAAAGTTTAGTAATTGAATATTCATTTGATATCCTTTGGATCTTTTCATTCTGCTGGATTTATTTTAAGAAAAGAATTTCTTCATCTTAGCTGTAAAGGGGACTTGCAATTTTTTCAATGTAGCGATCGATTGGGAAAAAAAAATTGGTATAACGGAACGGCCTGAGAAGAGAAACGCACGTTTTAAAACCATCCGGCTTGAACTTGAATTTATTTCCTATTTCTTGCTTATCCACTTAGAACACAACAACAGTTTGTGGAGTTATTCGAAACTAGGAACAAATTTAATTTAAAAAAATCCTGTGAGCACTTGGTAGTTGTGAGCTACTGTTTATTAAAATCCTCACTCGTTTTTTGATTTGAAAAACCTAACATTTTTTCTCGCACAACAAAACTGTACGACAGGTCATCTAACTCTCTTTAAAAGTGCGCTAATATTACCTAATCACTAAAGCGTTTCGACTGCAAGGTTATAAATCGATTTTTAATAGCTATAATCACGCTCTATCGTTGTTTTCTTACTGTAAACTACCAGAGTAAGTGAAGTGTTTTGTTTAGATTTTCAGAGAAATTATATTACATCAGAAATCCGTGCAGCATGATTTTTTTTGTTGGAGTTGAGATATTTTTCGTCAATGATTATCTTTAGTTTTGTTCCCAGCTTTTTGTATGAAACCAAATCAAATCAAAGAGGTCTGATTATCATTGAGTGGTAAAAGTTATTTGGTATTAATGTTTTTCTTCTTCGTTTCTAGAAAACAAATAAACTTGAGGAAACAAGGAGGAAGAAATTAGAAGAAAAGGAGGAACTGTTGGCTGAGCTGCATGAATTGTCCACATCACTGAATAATCACTGGTGCAAACTTGTGCCGTCACAGAATGCTGCGCTTTTGAATTCTCTCCGACAAAAATACGGAAACTTCAATGTAAGTTAGTTTCCTCTGATCTTCGTCCGGCGCAGCAAGACTCTTGCAAGAACTGAAAGTAGAACACAGTTTGTGGCCATATGCAACAAACATGACATTATTTTGAAACTTACATTAAGCTTTTAACATGCTTAACAATTCATCTCTTAAAGGTGAACTCACTTTCTTCGAATTTCCGAAGATGTCATAAATTGTAATGATTAATTGACTAAATTCCCTTGCGGTATTTTTATTATCGTTATGGATTTCTTGTGCTAGACTTCCTGTGAAAAATAAACTGGCCCACGGTAGATTCCCCGTCATTACTTGAGTCTTTAAAACTTTAATCCTCGTAGTACGCTAACATCTTCTCCTATGGAGTACCGTCCTTGAGAGAAAAAATAAAAGAAAAAAATATTCAGACATTGGTCATTATTTATTGCCGTGAGGGGGGGGGGGAGGGGAGGGACGGAAGACTTTTTGGGACGATCGAAAAAATACCCTTGTTGACACACACACGAAAAAAGCTGAGTCTGGATCGCTCATCACATCAAAATCAGATTAATATTATCGATAAAATGATCTTGTTGAAGTTCTATATCATGTTTTTTGTCCTCTAATCAGCCCCGTGGAAACACTGTTGGTTTCCATGTAGTCGCATAAAAGTCCCAACTGTTACGGGAATTTTTGTAAACCCATGGTTTGAAGGTAAAATCAGAAGTAATTGCATGCTTAGTATGTTTATAATGAGCTTTTTTTTAAACACAAATTGAAGGTAAAAACTTGGGGAAAGTAACTCATGTTGCGTGGACTAAACATTCTCTTTTTATTTCGTTAGTTATTCCGATGAACGAGCGCAAAATTGGCGCACAAAAATGGAAGATTAGCTCTTCAATGTCGTCGTAAGAGTTGCTAGCCGGTTGTTCGTTATCTTTTTAAGCAAAACACTGGAGAATTTCGAAAAAAAAACATCCGTCCTAAGGACCGCAAATGACCTTTTCGAGTTTGGTTTATCTCGTAACGACCATCTTGTCGAGAGTTTTGCCTACTAAAGACAACTGTTTCGTGGGATTTTGCTTGCAGTAGTATTCTTTGGTGAAGTGACAATAACCTGTGCAGAAGTCATCAACCGAGTCAATTGAGTATTAAACGAACATACACCAAAACCAGTTGGTTCGGTTTCGTTTAGTTCAACGGGGTAAGTTTCTAAAGAAACTGTGGTGCTGCGTCGATGCGGGCAAAACAAGATAATTTGGTTTTATGAACTAAGGTGATAATGTAAATAACCTTGCAAACTCTTTACGGTGGCCAATTTTACATTATCAGCTTCGTTGATAAAACCAAATCATCTTCATTTAGTTCAGTCGGTATGAGAGCTCCACCAGCCAAGTGGGTCTTCATTTTCACAAAGGTGCAAGCCATGGATGCCTTTGCCTCCGTGATCAGTCGACCCTGGAGAAGACCTTTTTTTCAAATATTACAGTCTTCGGCAAAACTTCTTGGGGTTTGTGATCTTCTTCGTCGTCTTCATCTCATTATCATCACGATTCTTTTTTATTATTATTATCATCATTGCCCTTTTTATAATTATTATTCTCCTCGTTATTATTATTGATACCATTATTATCACAATTTCAGGATCTGAGCAACTAATTTTTCGCACCAACGTTGGCCTAGGGGAGGGGTTGGTGAGCAGTTGCTCTAATGCAGATATTGAATCGTTATCGTCGTTCATTATAATCATTAGTTCAGAACATATTCTCGCTCAAACGAACATGTCAGCATATTATATTGTTACTGCTACGTTCAAGTTATCAACTATAACCCAATAAGAAAAGTTTTAATATTTTCAATGTTTTGGTCAGTCTATAACTGAAGCTCTCTGTCTTGATTTCCGCTTAGAAATTGATTTCCATGGCTTTTCTCTCATTTGCGGAGACAATGTTGTGCGCGGACGTTTTGGCCGGCCGCGTACATCGCAAGTCAAACAATTACCGATCCAAACCACTTCCAAGCTATGCCTCAATCTCCATTTCATGCAGAGCGTTGAAAATTGTCTTCTAGTGAAAGAAATCTTTATGGAATAAAGAGGGTAAAGAAACTGTGGTGCTGCGTCGGTTGGGGAGTATAGCAAGATAATTTGATTTTATCAATGGAGTTATTAATGTTTGTCGGCCACCGTAGAGTTTCAAAGCTGAAACTCTTTACAGTGGCCAATTTACACTATTAACTCAGCTGATAAAACTACATTATTATTAAGGAATAGCCCACCAGGGCTAAAGGATTATATAGGAACGAAAAACAAAGAGAAGTAAAAGAGGATGAGCACGTGGAAACTAAATACGGATATTGAATGGAGATCATAAGTAATTTACGCTAGTTATTACAAGATCGATAAGCTGTAACGTGGATAGCTTTAAGTCATCGATAGGCATATAAGCGTGAAGTTGCGTAATAGACATAGATCTCATGATAAGATAGAAAGTATCCGAAAGCGTGAATGAACGATATCGTAGTTAACCTGTGCATGATAAGTGACAAATTAACCCAACTGTTAACCCGCGACGAAAGCGGTTGAAGATAGTGAAGCCTAACCGTAAAAATAGAAAACGATCAAAACTTCAATTACGATTACCCCAATTGTAGTCTACTTTTGAGGTCCTAATCGTCGTATACGGAATTTGTGTCCCTTCAACTGGGTTCTGAAAATGTTGCCACAGATAGAGCTCTTTACTGTTTACAGTTTTTTGAGAGCCTCCGAAGGACGCTATTTATATTTAGTTTAGAAAACGTTAGCATCGCTCATTCGTAGACTTCTTACGGTCGTGCACTATAATGTGCAAGGTGACAAAAATTGGGATATTTCACAGGAAGTCATTGACTTGCAGGGATAAACCCCAAGGAGAATCGTTGCCTAATATCCGCCACGGGAAATAAATAGGACCAAAAAAACAAAAAGTGTTGCAACTTGTGAGACTTTCAGTACCAGCCGACTGGGGAAAGCTTGACGTCAAATAAGCTTTTCGATAGGGATCCTTTCCGCAGATTAACGACAGTTTATTTTTCTAAATTTTATTTAATAAGTCTTGCGGTTTTTTGGCACGAATTATTGCGAAAGTGTCTCGCCACAACAAGTTCCGGTCTTTCAATGTCCATGCTTCTTTGCGGGCGCAGTTCATGTCACGCAACACAATAAGACAGGAGTGGCTAACAACGCTGAACAAAAAAACTGGTAGTTAAACTGTAGTTTCAGACTATTGATTAATACAATGAAAAAGAACGAAAGCATCTAAAGTTTTTTCTTTTGCTTATTTACAAGAGAAATCTTTCTTCAAGCGTAATACATCAAGTTGGCTTTTTTCTTAGCATTCACTTCCATAATTCCGTCCATGTAATCTTCATGGATTACCTCGGTGGCTTCACGACGCAGAGCGATCATACCCTGAAAAAGAACAAGCGATCAGAAGTGCTGAATTAAAAGTGATCAAACCTCACACCAAAGTTGAAGAGGTATAATATTAATAACAATATTATTAATATTGTTAACATTACAGAGACAGCAAAACAAGTGATCAAAAAAACTTTGGAACAGGTTGAATACATCAGCGGAACATACAATCAAAACGACAGCAGAACAAGTGATGGAACTGAGAAGCAGTCTGATAAAAGGCCTTCGGAACACTGAAACAACTCGTCGCCGAAGACTGCATTTATAGTCATTTTGTTTTGATAAGAATGTAGGGCTACATATTCGAACTTTTCTGCCCACCTCAGGCTGAAATATTCTTGTGTACAATCTTAAATCGCAAAACGGAATTACAAAAATAAATTAGAGCAAAGGGTTTGCTAGAAAGTTCAACGTACTGCCTCGACACACACAGCTTTCAACATGGCTCCATTGTAATCGTCAGTACACCGCGCTAACTCATCGAAGTTCACATCAGGACTGTGAAAAATTGAACAAGTAGACATGTTAATAAAAAAAAAACAAAAACAAAAAACATCGAAACGATTACAAACGGATAAGCGCCAAACTTCCCGGGCATTTGGACATTTTATGTGCGAGAGGGAAAGAAATAAAGCGTTCTTTATCATCACTTCGTACTTTTTGACAGTGTATTAGTTATTGGCTCGAGTGACACGACTAGAAAGGAATGACGTGCTCGAAAAAGCCGCCGTTTATAGAGAGGAAGCATAACTATAGGGGCAGCTTTTATTTTGCATTTCACCTCTAGACTGGCTAAAACAGTGGATCTTGAGCCACGCCCAACAAGAGACAGGATACCCTCGCTAAACCCAGGGAATTTTTCCCTACAAAATGACCGCGTGCTCATCGGGAAACGTCGAAACCTGGAAGCGGTCCAAATTCACTTTAGCACTTGAAAGAAAGAATTTCTAAAGAAACATAGTTTAAGTGGTTCAATCCACAGATTCATCGCTAAAAGGAACGAGAAGCACATTTCTTCAGGGGAGTACCATGAAAAACAGTCAATGTAATACCCTGCTCAATTCAATGAACAGGTAAGGCGGTCCAATGGCCATGTTCTCACCTGACGTTCATTTTCCTTGAGTGGATCTGCATGATTCTTGCCCTGGCCTCCTGATCTGGATTTGGCAGTTCAATTTTCCTGTCCAAACGGCCTGGAAACGAAAGATTAAGTTAAAGTAAGCGAACACTTGTTCACGCATTCACCCTGCACCCTTGATGGTTTTCTTTGTTACCAGTATATAAAATCTGAAACAAAATCAAAACATTTACCCCAAATAAAAGAAACTATAAATTAATTCCAAGCAAAGATACAACTCAGACCTGATCTTAATAAAGCTGGATCCAGAATATCTACACGATTCGTAGCAGCTACGACCTGAAATTATGAATAAGAGTAAATAAAGAAAAACAGGGAAACAAAAGTAAACATGTACAAATCACAAAGATATTGTATATCAAAGGAATGAACAAGACATTTCCACCTTTTTTTTTGGGCAAAGTAAAAACAAAAGAATAGCTCGAGAAAAAATCATTTGTCTCCTTCCAATTTTCATTCTTTCTTCAGCTCTTAGAACTTGCATATAACCAAGTAAACCTGGATCAATATCAGTATCTGGGCAACTGCCCACCTACCCCTCCCCTAACCCAACATTAACCTTAACCCTTTCACTCCCACAAGTGACCAAGACAGAACTTCTCCTTACAATATCAATACAATATCAAGCAGGCAGGTGATGAGAATAGAGAAGAATATCAATCATGGGATTATTAGTTGATCCAATACCAAATTCTCTGAACTAACATCATAAGAATTTTATGGCAGATAGTAAGGAGAAT